GACAACATTCCTGTTGTAGTCTTGCAGAGGTGTTCTCCGGAGCTTTCATCCATACTTTCTAAACTATTTAACAAGTGCTTATCAGAGTCTTGTTTTCCATCATGCTGGAAAGCAGCATCTGTTATCCCTATTTTCAAAAATTCCGGAGAGCAATCTAATTCATCTAACTACCGTCCCATTAGTCTTCTTCCTGTCATAAGCAAGGTTTTTGAATCTTTAATCAACAAACACTTAATCTCTCATCTTGAATCAAATAACTTACTTTCTGATCATCAATATGGATTTCGGTCTTCTCGTTCTACAGCTGATGTGCTAACAGTAATAACCGATAGGTTTTACCGTGCATTAGATAGAGGTGGAGAGGTTAAGGCTATCGCACTTGACATTTCTAAAGCTTTTGATAAAGTTTGGCATGCTGGTCTTCTCCATAAGCTTTCTTCTTATGGTGTAGCTGGTAACGTCTTTAAGATTATTGAGTCCTTTCTTTCCAATCGTAGTATAAAAGTTGTCCTCGATGGACAACACTCTTCTTCACATCCTGTAACTTCAGGGGTTCCTCAAGGTTCAATCCTTGGCCCAATACTCTTTTTAATTTACATTAACGATCTTCCAGATATTCTCTCATCTAAGGTGGCATTATTCGCTGACGACACTACCATTTACTCTTGTCATGATAAGAAGCCTACACTCTCTGATTGCTTAGAGGGGGTATCTGAGCTTGAAAAGGATCTCACTTCTGCTACAGCATGGGGCTCACAGTGGCTGGTGAACTTTAATTCAGATAAAACTCAATTTTATTCGGCCAATCGTTATCGTAATAATTTAGATCTTCCTATATTTATGAATGGTAATGTACTAGATGAGTCATCTACCATTCATCTTCTAGGATTAACTCTTACTTCTGATCTTTCTTTTAAACCGTATATCAAATCCATTGCAAAATTAGCATCTGCTAAGGTTGCATCTCTTTATCGAGTTCGACACTTTCTTACTCCAGATTCTATTCTCTATCTCTATAAATCTCAAATCCGTCCCTGTATGGAATACTGTTGCCACATCTGGGGCGGATCTTCTAATGATGCTCTTTCTCTTTTAGACAAGGTGCAAAAACGAATTGTAAACATAGTAGGACCTGCTCTGGCAGCCAATCTCCAACCTTTGTCACATCGTCGTAATGTTGCTTCTCTTTCTCTTTTCTACAAATACTATAATGGGCACTGCTCTAAAGAGCTAGCGTCCCTTGTGCCATCTACTAAAATTCATTCTCGTGTTACTCGCCATTCAATTAAGTCTCATCCTTTTTCTGTGACTGTTCCTAAGTGCTTCAAAAACTCTTATTCTTCTAGTTTTTTTCCTCGAACATCAGTTCTTTGGAATTCGCTTCCTTCATCTTGCTTTCCTGATTCATATAATTTGCAATCTTTTAAGTCATCAGTCAATCGTTATCTTGCTCTACAGATTTAGTCTTTTCTCTTCCAGTAACTTCCAACTTTTATAGTGGTTGCTTGCAGCCTTGTTGGAAGTGAAGATGTTAAAAAAAAAAAAAAAAAAAAAAAAAAAATATGTTATCTAGTAAGGTCGACGAAGTCTTAGTTATTCTCGTCGACTTATTTATAGTGGGAATGATATCGTATTGTATAAGTGTATCTAAAAAGCATTGAACATTTAGATTTGAAGCTTGATTTAACAAGTTTAAATTATAATCACCAGTTAAGTACACGTATTTCTTTGTAATGTTAATTTTGCTTAAAAATGTTTTTAGATAGGTATGAAACTTTTTTAAATTACCAGTTGGTTTTCTATAAATAGAACTAATTTCTGATTTCTGGTTAGATTTCTGGTTAATTGGTCTAGATAACTAGATTTCTGGTTAATTGGTCATCCTTCAACATCAATTAATGGGGCCAAACTGCCTGATTGTGAGCAAATTATAAAATATGTTTTATTTCTAAGGAACGATCCAGAAAATATTAAAAATAAAGTAAAGAATGAGGACATTGCTTATGTTGTGGTTGATACAGACAGAATTGCATGCTTGATGTTAAGAAATTTTGGAATGAATGGCAGAGTTTGATAAAAAAAAAGAAGAACACGTGACGCTGGAAGCAAGAGAATTTTATTGAATGATTTGATTCTCTTTTTAACATTGGTGCACCTGACGCCATAGATGAAATAAAGAAACCAAGATTTTTGTCAGAAAGAAAAAAACAAGATGATATCGACTTTTATTTGGATCAACAACAGGAAAGAAGAGCATGGTTTTGCTTTCAAAAATAATAAAATTTTTGAAAGCAAAACCAAAATAAAACTTGCAAGACAAGCACGTGAAGCATGTTTTACAGAAAGAGAACAGTGCAGGTTTGATATTTTAAAAGAAAAGCAGGTCGAAGGAGTGACTGCTTTGCTGGAATAAGATTCTGAGACACAATTAAATGAAGATGACCGAACTTAAATTGATACTGATTTTGAAACAAATCTTCAACAAGAAGCAACAAAAGTAGATCAAGGCGAATATGTAACTCTTAAGCTACCGAGGAAAATAATGTAATTTGACCAGATAACCAATGCTGCTGATCGTCTCAAGTTGTCAGACAATCAAATAACAATGATTGTATCAACATTGATAAAAACTGCTGGAGATAATTCTGAAGATTTTGAGATCTATAACTTGAGATCTACAAGATCTACAACTTGGAGAATAAGAATGTTCAATTGTTAAAAGATTTTAGAAAGTGTCATGGAGACAGTGAAACAGAACCTTCCCCAATAGAGTGCTTTGCATTGGGATGGTAAACTTTTAAATGATATGAGACACATATAAACGACTTGCAATACTTATTTCTGGAGCTCCCGAATACAAGGAAGGGAAATAATTAGATGTTTCTTCTCTAGCTAACTCCCAAAGAGCAACTCAAGCTGAAGCACCGCTTGATTTGATACAAGTTTGTGATCTGTCAGACAGAGTTGTAGATTCAACAGCTAGCAAAAGTGGTATACACAAAAGAGCAGCTAAATTAATGGAAGCAAGTCTAGATAAAAAGTTACTCTATCTAACCTGTTGTCATCAGATTTTAAAATTTGTTGTTAGCGCTGTAAGGAAATTCTTATTTAATGACATTTTAGGCCCGGAAAACAAACTGTTTGCAAAATTTAAAGATGTTTGGTCAAATATAGAAAAAGTTCAAGCAATACAAGTACTGAAAACTGAAAATTAACGGTTTTTAAACATAAAACATAAAGTTGTCAAAGAACTTACAGACATGCTATCTTGCAAGGAGTCAACAACTTTACGAAGAGATGATTATCGTGAATCTGATAATCTTGGGTGAAACTACCCCACGAGGCGCTCACTTTCTCAAATCAGGGGGGATGCATCAAGCACGTTGGATGGCCAACAACATATATGCTAGAAAGATGTATATGTTTTGCCAACAGATGTGGTATGATGATGACATGGTTGCTAAACTCATGTGTATGAATAGATTTTTGGCTCATTTCTACACTCCTGCATGGATGAAAACACCACGGGGAGCGGATGCATTTATGAACAACCTCCAGTTTATTCATGACATAATTGATTTTAGAAGTGTTGTCAAAGATATTTCTGATGCTGTGATAATCAAACTCCATAATCATCAATGGTACTTGTCATAAAATTGGTCATGAAATAACTTTGACAAGTTTGATTGGACCTAAATCTCATTCGTTGTTCGGCATTTTAAAAGTGAGTACTAGTTGGCTTTCCAAACCAGTGGAGCGAAGGAATTCAGACCAGGCTTTTAGAATTGCAGAACAATTTGTTTGTACAGTCAAAGTTGTCAACTTTGACTGTACAAGCAAATTGTTCTCTGACTCAAAATCCAAGACTGTAATCTTGGATTTTGCTACAATCATTACAAATAATATTGAGTAAAGGGCGTGGTTGTTGCAGGGTGTCAAGCAGCATAGAAAGTTATATTCCAGTTTTGATAAAAAGACATTAAATTTGTGAAACTGTAGTGTATTACTAGGTACTATATGAGTGTGTTGAGTATAAAAGATTAAACACTTTTCATGTAAATTACTAATTTTTCAAGTAAAGACTGTTAAGTCCTTTGCTTTTTCTTATATTTGGTCACAAAATTGAGTAAAACATTTTATTTTTTTTTAAGTTGGAATGTTAAAAGATAGGTGTAATAATGGGCTATAATTTTAAACTAGTTTATAGGTAAAGAGCGCATCGAGGGATCTAAAGGGGGTGCTAATCCACCACCTACACCTCACAAAATTACACTATTTTTTCATAATAGTGTGTTTTTTTCAAGAAGTTGGTAATATTTATATACAACAAGTTGTATTTTATTTATTCCACGCCACTTACAAATATTACAGATCTATCTTAAAGTTGGGTGTTGGGTTGTGGTTAAGGTTTAACACACCCTATAAAAATTTCATTCTTTTAAATATTACAATCTTTACTAAAATGATTAAATTTATTACAAAAAATAAAAAATATATTTCAACACTTAAAAAAATATTAACTATTGGTGTATAAATTGCTTTTAAGAAAGAGGGCGTATGCCGCCCCCTTCCGCCCCTAAAAAAAAAATTTAAATGAAAATTTTAAAAAAATTATTAAAATGCCTTTTTAAAAAGAGAGAAATTAATGCAAAAAACTATTTTACTGCATTACAAGATGCGTCTGAGCATCCATTTTGTCTATTTTAAAGTTGGGTGTTGGGCTGTGGTGAAGGTTTAACACACCCTATAAAAATTTCATTCTTTTAAATATTACTAAAATCTTTACTAAAATGATTAACTCTATTACAAAAAATAAAAATATATATTTCAACACTTTAAAAAATAGTAACTAGTGGTGTATAAATTATCTTTATGAGAGTGGGTGAAGGTGGTATTCACCCCACCCCCATTTGCCCCTGAATTTTTTTAATGAGAATTTCACAAAAAATGTTAAAATGCTTTTTTAAACAGAGAGAAAATAGTATAAAAAACTATTTTACCACATTACAAGATGCGTCTGTGTATCAATTTTGTCATATAAAAGGATGAATTACCCACTCCAACCTAAAAAAACAACAACACAAAAACAACAAGACTTTTGAAATATAAAATCTAATTAATTTTTGTCTTGGCTTTTAGTGAATGATTTAATTTTTAAATTCTATTAATGAATAAAATTAAATTATTTTTAACAATAGACACCATGTGAAGGTAAGCCAGAATCATCTCTGTGAATGAACGGTTGCTGGTAAAAAAATGAAAGGTTGCTGGTGAAAAAATGAACGGTTGCTGGTGGGTATATCTTCAATAGGCCTGATATATTTAGAGCTTACATATCAGGCCTATCGAAGATATAGGCCATATAGACCTATATCTTCGATAGGCCTGATATGTAAGCTCTAAATGAAAGTTTAACAGGGTGGCCAATCAAACTTGAAAATAAAAATACTGCTATTGATTCTCCTTCTATGGCACTTTTAGGGATAACATAATACAAATGTATTAAAAAGTGTATATAAATAGAAATATTATGAATTCAATAATCATTCGGAAATATTTCTATATCATAAATTTACCAGCAGAAGGTTGTGCGGGTTGTGAAATTTAAAGTAAAAAAAAATTGTAATAAAATTTAATTTTACTTGCATTTGATAAGAAAGACATACACATATTAGAAATAATAGTTTTACAAATGCATTATGCTTACGCATATTTGAAAATAATAGCTTTTAAACTTATTGTTTGAAGCAGCTGCAGATACAACTAAAGGCTAAAAAAGTTTTAAAAAAGTTAAAAAAGAAATAAATATTGCAATTGTTGAAAAATGCATAAACATATTGAAAAAAATAGTTTGTCAATATACCAGTTGCAGCCGATGTAGATGGAACTAAGGTTAAAAAAGGAGTAATAAAAAATAAATATTACAGTTGATGTGAAATAAAGACATATATGAACAAGTTTTTTGTAGTATACAATAAAAATATTTTTCAACTTAACACTCAATGCAGCAGCACATGGAACTAAGGTTTAAAAGTTTTAATAAAAAATTAATTTGCAATTATCGAGAAATGCATACATATTAAAGTAATAATTGTTAATCTTATTCCAGCTTAAGTTTAAATATTGCAATTTGATATTAGTATTAAATCTATTATCATTGCTAAAGGTTATGCTATACAAACTTACCAGTGGTAGACTATGTAGATTGGACTAAAGATAACAAAAAAATTGCACGATTACACAAAACATTTTGAAATACTTTTAAAAAACAAGCTAACACTAGGAATGTTATTATAACTATGTAAACATTAAACAAAGATTTAAAATACACAAAAAGTAAAAAACATGAACTTAAGGTTTTTAAAGTACTTTAATATACTTTAAAAAATCTATTAACATCTACTTACTATATATTACTTTATCTTTGTATTTAATGATGAACATGATTTTTTTAACAAATAAACCCAAAAATTATGTGATTAATACATACGAAATTGTAAAAAATTCACAACTAATGTCCAAGGATCTAAACAAAAAGTAAATAAAAGACATGCTTGTATAAAGATTTAAACAATAATCCAAAGATAAAGAAGTATGCAATCAGAAAATGATAAAATATAATAATAATAATAATATCTTTTACTATCTTTGAAAAACACTTACAAGGTTTTTGTTAAGAATAAACCAATGAAGAATGTGTATGACTAATATATGGGGTTTTAATAAAATTTTCAACTGATAATATTAGTTAACAATCAATTCAAAAGAAAGTTTTTTAATCTTAAACATTAATTTTTATGTAATTATCACTTAGAAAAAGATTAGGTTTTACATTTATCAATATTGTTTTTGTTCTAGAAATAGTTGTTGATCATAGTATTTAAAAGAAAAAAGAAAAATAAACTTACCTGTTAGAAAATCTAAAAAATTTTTATTGATTTTTTCCATTTTATTATGCCCCCCGAGCCGCCCCCGTACTCTGCTTGCCGGAAAAATAACAACAGAAAAACAGAAACTAGTAACAAAAGTGCTACACTAATTAAACTATTTGCTTATATTTCTTTTTCGGTGAAATTTTGCATGTGCATAGAAACTAAATGTAGAAAACATTTTTAATAATAAAAAAGGGGGCTCAACATTTCTTCGACTAAAAATTAATGTGAGAACATCAACCAAATTTTCATGGAAACTTGTGAGTAAAATAGTCCATTAAAAAGTATTGCAACCATGCTTAAAAAACATATAAAAATCAAGCTTAACCTTACTTCTTTTAAGTAATAGTTTAAAATTATATATGTTTTTAAAAAGAGTTACTAGAAAAATAAGTGGCCTAAGTCTACCTAAAAAAAGTGCTATACTTAAAATAACACTAATTAAACTATTTGGTTATATTTCTTTTTCGTTGAAATTTGGCATGTGCATAGAAAATGCATGTAGAAAACATTTTTAATAATAAAAAAGGGGGCTCAACATTTTCTTTCGACTATAAATTCATGTGAGAACACCAACCTATTTTTCAGTAGCAAAATAATCCATAAAAAAGTTCAATAACCATACATAAAAGTCTTATAAAAAACAAGCTTAACTCTTCTTTTTTTCAAAAATATACTATGTGTAAATATGTTTCTAAAAAGAAACTCCTCAAAAATACGTTTGCCTTACACTACCAAAAATAAAGTCAAAAAAACGAGCCACAGAATTTTAGCACAAAAGTCGGTTCCGTATATCGCTATTTCCGCGTACCTACTTTATATTAAACATGATTTTGTTTAAATTATGTTGTTATATTTATAGATTTATAACATTTTATTATGTAAATAATTTTAATTTTTGCTCTAAAAATGGGGTTCAAATTCTGAGGCCTTGAGGAAGCTTAGGATCACTTATCAAAAATCTGTAAAAATTATTTTTAAGTATGATTTTGATAGTATAATGGGAAAAACTTTGACACTTCATACTAATCATGGACAACCTTAATGTAGCTAAATACATTACATTTACAGCTACTAAAAATATTTTTTAGTTTTTTTATTTTGTTATTATTGTAGCTAAAGCCATTAAAATGTTATCCTTGCAAGCACTAAGTGGTTGTTAGTGTCAATAATAATTTTCAAATAAGCTATTCCATAATGTAATTAAATTTTTAATACAGCAAAAACTTATTACTTAGGCAGCAACGTCAACACTTTTTAATAAATATTTTGTCAACTTTATATGCTCAAAAGTAAGTTTAGGTAAAATACAAAAGCCACATTCTCTGTCTTTATAGAATATGTAAGCAATATCATTCCACAGGATAAACTTACTATCCTGTTTTTTTTCGTATGTTTTAAGTTGGATAAATCATACTTAAATTAGACAGTAACAATTTGTCTTGTCGTGGATGAGGTAGAAACAAATCATTTAAAATGTCTTTTCAACAACTTGCGAGAAACATTAATGCAAGTTACAAGCAACAACTTTTAAGAAATTTAGTTTACAAATTTTGATTGATTTTGAAAACAAAAGAAATGTTTGTCATGCAGTGGCACCAGTTGTAAAAGTCAGCTAGATTAGTCAAATATATCATCATACACTGCAGCTGACTTTGAAACTAGATAACTAACATAAAATATCTTATTTTAGTTGAAGATAACCTTAGATTTGGAGATATTTTTCTGCATTCAAAAATAATATATTTTATGTTAATTATCTAGTTTCAAAGTCATTATATATATATATATATATATATATATATATATATATATATATATATATATATATATATATATATATATATATATATATATATATATATATATATATATATATATATATATATATATATATATATATATATATATATATATATATATATATATATATATATATATATATATATATATATATATATATATATATATATATATATATATATATATATATATATATATATATATATATATATATATATATATATATATATATATATATATATATATATATATATATATATATATATATATATATATAGGCTTACCATAATTTTGAAGTTGTAAACCGGAACACGCAGGAGTTTCGGCGGCATAGGGAGGGAGGGCGTTGTTAAGAAAGAGGTATTGGTGTATATGTGTGTGTAGGGGAGAAGGGGCTATTGCAAAATGTTGAAATAAATGACCAGTGAGATAGGAGGTAGAGAAAAATAGTGCTTTTTGTGCTTCAAAAAACATGGTACCCTGTAATTAGGTTTCATGAAACTCTTTATAGATAAAAGGAAGACCATTGCTCACCTGCTGAAGGGATCTAAAGCAAAGAAACGACACGAAAATATTTTTGTATTATTTGTTAAATCTTACAAAAGAAATATGAGAAAAAAAATATTCATTGTTTTTATATGAGTTATACCTTTCCGTAGAATGTATTTTTTCTAGCAAGTTAAATTTTTTTTTTAATTTTTCTCATAAAAAAGTGAGCATGTAATGCTAAAGTTCAACTTGCAGTAGAGCAATGCACACGAACTCCTTCAAAAGACCTCGGTCATCTGAACAAATATTTTTCATGATTAAAAAAATGCGCTCTACTGGTGCAGATGTTCCTGGCAAACACTAAAGGTATTCAATAACTTTTGCCAGATTAGGTACACCAATGTCTTTTTATTAAAAATTCTTGAATAATTGAATCCATTTGTCAACATAAGCGATTCGGATTTTCAATGGATTCCATTCTTCCTTTTTTGATGCAAAAAACGTTTTTGCACTTGACATCTCATCAAAAAGACTATCAATATTAGTTTTTTTGTTGATCATCTGAACCACGAATATTGTTTATAGCTTCAGCATATTGTTCAATATCCATGAACAATATGCTGAAGATGCATTTTAGTTTCCCGTTTAAACAATGAAATGCTTTTTAGGTCTTTAATATTTTTATTTTGGAAATGATTCCATATTGATGGGCCTCGGTTTGTAATTAAAAAATTTGACTGATGTGATTTAATTTTCCCTAAGTGATAAATATATCTGGTATTTGAACACCTTGGGCACTAAATTTTTTATGCAACTGTTTTGCTCTTTGCGGGACAAAATTACTATTCATTTTTTCCTCAAGATTAGATTTTAATTTTTTTAGTTGCAAAATAAGGTCTGTTGCATTTTATTGGCTTTTTTTCCATAACTAATACAGTTTTGTTAAAATTATTTAGCAGATTGAAATGTATTTGTGTCCAAAATGTCAGAGTTTGCAGTACAAGTTTGGTCACTTATTCAAAAGGGAGAAATTGAGTTATTAGAAAGAGTCCAACATTGTGCCACTCGACTTATACCATCACTTAAAATAATCAGTTATGAGAATCGTCTTAAAGCACTTAACTTCATTACCTTGACAAAAAGGAGACAACGAGGAGATATGATTCAACTTATTAAATTTTTCAACGATTTTATAAATTTCGAAACAATCAAAAAAATTAGTATTCAACAAACTCAAACAAGAGGCTTTTAATATATCAAAGAAATCACTAAGCAAGCATGTCGTGAAAACTTTTTATTTAATAGATTGGCCAATTTATGGAATAGCTCGCCAAGCGAGTTGGTTAAAGCACAATCAGTTAACAGTTTTAAAGGAGGTCTTGATTGCTGGATGAGCAGCAATTAAGCGAATCGGCTTTCATAGTGTGTTAATACCACACTCACTGGCTCACCAGTTACAGCAACGACTAATACTAATATGTGCACCACAACCAATGCCAATAATATTATTACCGACTTCTTGTTTAAGCCTATTGTAAACATTACTTTTACCTTTTCTATGCACTCCATAAAAATTTGTGTTGCAATTGTCAGAACAAAAAGCAGCCTTTTTTTATTAACTTCATGACACTGCAATGTTAAAATTAACTTATCAGTCAATATTTTAGATGTTTTACCAATAACAGATTCAAAATCCAGAAATTTTACTTTGAAACCTACTAGTGATAAAAAGGACCTAACAACAACTGGAGTCAATGTTATAAAACTTTTTATCGGCGTAAAATGCAACCAGCTGTAAATTTTATCGGCGTAAATGATTTGTTTCAATGTTATAACAATGTTATAAAAATTTTTTCAAAATTACCGTCGATAAATTTCTACAGCCGAAACGTTTACAGTCGATAAATGTTCCGGAGGAGCGACCTACGGAAATTTCTGTTGAAGATCCAGAGAGATGAATATTTAGTTGTAGAAACCTATGGTTTAGAACTTTTCAAAGTACTTACCTTGAGTTGAAAACTTAATACAAATTCTTTTATTT